TGTCCCGATACCTGCACCATTCCGGACTGTGGACCCTGTGGTGCAGGCTGCTGCACTATCTGCTGGGGCTGTGAACCCTGCGGTTGTGCCGGCTGCGAGACAGCAGGCTGCCCGCTTACGGCAACCTGAGATGGAGGTTGGGAGAACACTGTCTGTACAGGAACCTGCAAACTAGAACCTGTTGAGAACCCGCCTGTTAAAGGCATACCCAGGGAGACAGGCTGAACCGATGCTGGAGCGGTATATGGGGATACCCCAGTCACCGGTGGGACAAAAGGAGGAGGATGTACAACGGGCCAGACACCAGGCCGGACAGTGATGGTGTCGCCTGCGCTCGCCCGACCAACACGGCAAGACTCTGCTGGATGTCTTGTAAGATCGTTGTCTGTTGGTCTTGCATCTCTACTACTCCTAGCAAGACCGACCTCACGATCCTCACTTCATCATCCAACTCCGCTGGGTCCATCTCCTCTAACTCGCTAATGTCCGCTTGTCGCCGCTGCAACCCGGCTCTTCTTCTAATCATTCTTTCTTTTTATGCCTTAATCTCTCCTAAAGCCTTCTGTAGTTGTGCCTCGCGATCAACAACTCGCTGTATGGCGACCTCCTCGAAATTCAACACTAATGGCTGGCTTGCCATTACACCAGTGGACTGACTCAGGGTCTGCGCGGCCATTGACCCTATAGTCCCTGAACTGCTAGCCTTTGAACTTTGTTGAGCAGCAGTTGCCATAGTCTGTGAAGCTGCGGCTTCGCTTACGAACGCCCTGCTGGCCCCTGCTACCCTAGCTCTCCTCTACTGCTGCTGCCTCTCCCTAAGCTGGCGGAACATAAATCTGTCACCCTCTGGTCCTAAGGCCAAGTGGGCTATCGGTTGTCTAGCCGATCGCAAGATCCGGTCGTCCTCACTAGTGATATCCCTATCGCTCATAAGCTACAAAACTGTACACAATCTGCACTAAGACACTCTTTGATGCTTAACCACAGCGTTGTGCACAGACCGACTTATAATTAAACTAATTAATCGGTGGCTGCGTCAAAGAGTATATAAATTTGGGTCCAACAGGTAAGTTCGGGTTCCTACAAATGAGACTAGACTTTGACTAGTTCGCAAACAAAAGCATAATGAACAAAGAACAGTTCTAAACTATGATGTCTGTCAGATGTCAATGGTTGTACATCTAAATAATCAAGAGTAAAAAATAGAATCGCTTGTTGGGTCTGTTTGCAGAATGGAATCTTGCCCGAACTTATCACCTGGAATCTACCCCTCCCTGAGTTCATCTTGAATGTCTCTTGTCGTCAACGTCCCTGAGCGATCCAGATAGCGTGCGTGTCTGAAGGTGTGCACACGGCCCACCCCTGTGCCCCGAGTCCTGCTGAGCTGGCCAGCCCTGCACCGTATTTATCCTCGCGTGCAGCGAGCCTTACACCGACCGATTGGCTGATCAGGAGGCGTTTTTATGGACGGCCCTCGAAGTCCTCAAGAATTCTTTAACGTCGCAAACAGGACTACGATCACAACCAATGGAAGGTATCTCGCCGGTTCTATAACTATTATAAGCAAAATCCGGAGGCCTGCCACCCTTTCTCGTAGGCCTGACACTCTCTTCTTGATCTCCTTCACTCACTCTTTTGGGGAGAAGACTCGTCAGACCATTGCCCGATTGCTGGCCCACGACCCGATTTTTGGGCCCACAATGAGGAACCTGCAGGACGATCCTGCCTCTGAACCATTCTAGTTTCATATCTGTTGTACACTTGCAGCAGAGGTGAGGAACGTTTGTGTATTCCTCAGGATCGCAAGTTGAGAACACTCCTGATGTCAGAGTGGCATGATGCCCGTGGTCGCATTGGAGCCCTGAAATCATATGCGACCCTATCACAGTGGTTCTTCTGGAAAGAGATGAGGAGTGACATGCTTATGTTGACACCTGTGAGTTGTGCCAAAGGAATAAGGGCGTACGCAGACCTCCCCTTGGCCTACTCAAACCACTTCCCATTCCTGAGGCACCTGCACAGTTAGTGTCTATTGACTTCACTGATTTGGGTAGGACCACTCCTCGTGGTATGCGTGAAGTTATGGTATGTGTGGACAGGTTCTCCAAATACGCAGAGTCCATTTGCCAAGAGAAGCCAGAGTCCCTGCCGTCCAGGCGCGTTTGCTGACAGGTGGGTCACTCATCATGGACGACCCACCTCCATTGTCAGTGATCGAGATCCCCGTTTCTGCAGCCATGAATGGCAGTCCTACTGCAAGGACTACCTTCATTCTCGTTTGGACATGACATTTGGTCGTCATCCTGAAGCCAATGGCCAGGCTGAAGTAATGAACCAGATTCTGTTCCAGTTGCTGCGTCTTGTGATCAGTCCAGATCAACAGGACTGGGATCTTCATCTGGGTCATGCATAACTGGTGTATAATACTTACGTACACTCCTCCACTGGTTTCACACCCTACCAGTTACACTGGGGCTGTGAACCACGTCAGCCTCTCGATGATATCATCGATAAGGCTACTCCTACACTGACACCTGAAACTGCAGAGTTCACCAGGCGATACCGTGTGGATATTGAGCGTGCTCATGCCAACCTGCTCAAAGCCCAGAAGGCTATGATTCAGCAGGTTAACCGACACCGCCGCTCGTCTACTATTCGCACAGGTGACTGGGTTTGGGTCCTCAGTTATGAGTTATCCCGGGAGGAGGACATTTCACCTAAGTTGTTGCCACGATACATGGGTCCATGGCAGGTTTTAGATACAGTGGGGGCTGACCCTTTTGGACCTTCCTATGTTATGGATGCTCCCCTGCATTTACAAACCTACCCTGCCTTCATGCATCCAAGTTGTTGCCCTTTACCTCAGCTGATGCATTTCCAGACAGACCCCCTCAATTTGGTCCACCGGTCCCTGGGAAGGGATATGACGTGGAGAAGATTGAGGATGAGATGGGTACTGGCTCATATGTGCAGTATCTTGTGAAGTTCATGTACCAGCCTCATACTGAGGATCACTGGTTTACACGTAAAGAACTTCTCAAGACAGCAAAGTCAACTGTCCTAAAATATGAGGCAGCTAAGAAGGGATTATACCCTTGACTATCTACACGCCTGCTCTCCTAGCTCGGAGGTCCTCGCTTCGGGGGAGGGTAGGTCTGCAATGACTTGCTGTTTTATGCCGCCTGTGACCCGTCGACCCGAGGCTGTAACATAGGTAGGTTAGTTGTCTTTTGTTTGGCTGAGGGCTAACCGAGAGACATGCCTGTACGGAAAATTCGTGAGGGACCTAACTGTAAATATGGAAAAATATAGGCCCTACTAACTAGAATTTCCTACAGCTACCCTAACTGCGAATAGCAGGCCCGGGCTACCCCTAGGACAGACAGGCCCTGAAGGCCTGTGCTGATAGACGGTCCTATAGCCTATAGCCGGGTAGGGAAGAGGCCGAGAGGCTGAAACTGAAACGGTACCAGTCGGTCTAATCAGTCCGGTCTAGGTCTAGGCTAGGGTAGTGTAGTTCTATAGATAGATTGTAGGCATCGGTTCGGGGCTTTTGGCAGTTGGTACCGTGTATGTCGCTGCTCTGCAACGCATGAACTGGAGTGGTGACAGCTTCAGCGTTGGAGAAGACAGACATAGCCAGACCTGCGAAGCTCGGCCATAGCTGGGACCTGCGCTGTCCTCTGACAGCACCGGGGGCTGTTCAGAGGTCTGGGCTATCTGGAGTCTGCTGGAGGCACGAGAAGTTGGTGCCCTGCTGAACCCTCCTCAAGAGTAGGGTATCAGGGTGTTTGGCGCTGCAGCCATAGCTGCAGTTTCCTTCCTCAGAGATCATCCTTGTCAGGAGAGGTGGCGCTGCTACAGCCTTCCACCCGGGAAGTCTTCTGGCACTTCATCTTCATCAGATACTGTGGCGCTGGTCTTCTTCTTCATCCTCTGAGAGGCGCTTGGCCTCAGAGGCACGTTTCAGGGTGGCGCTTCCCTTTGGAGGCAGTATCTGGGTGGCGCTGTTTGTTTCAGGGACTCAGGGGTAGTATAGCGGTTACTCAAGGTTGGGGAGTGAAGCGCTGCTCATTCCTGAGCAGCACACCATGGTTCTGAGGTTATTCTGATATTTCGAGACTCTGAGTTTAATAAACAGTGTGTATACTGTGTGTGGACTATCATTGCTTCGTTGTTTCCTGGATGTGATCTACTCGGCTTTCCTTTGTGACTGGTTGTGAGGATTCTGTGGAGCAAATTGCACTTTCAGTATTTTCTGTCATATTGGATGGACAAGTCTTCCGCTGTGCCTATCTCTCTCTGTGCGGTGTGATACTCCCATCCTCTCCCCTTCCTTCTGTGTATGTATGGGCGTACCTGGAAGTCTATGTGTGCGAGCGTTGGTCTTTTGACAACAAACAACCAGGTTCATAACACAACAGTCCTCTGCAACATTCTCAACATTGCCATCACTCTACCCTTTGTGATGCAGAGATGGTACTCAAGTCATCCTCCGTTTGTGGGCCATATGTTTCACCTTCAGGTTTTCCTCTTTTCATTTTCTTTTCCCCCTTTTTTCCTGTTGGCATGGTGTTTATCCCGTTGGCATCGCTATGGACAAATCTCTGGACCAGAGTCAACAGGAGGACATGCCAGTTTGGTGAATCGATTGCTTCAGTATTTGTCTGCAACTTTGGATCGAACCACTTGCCAATCTGTCAAGAACGTCAGTTGAGAGGAGCATGGACTTTGCAGACCTGTAATACCTGTCTCCTGTAAACAATCAAACTGGTCCTTTGACTGAGTCAATGCACAAGCAACCATTTGATTGACCATCTTGATTCAGCTAAAAGTTTAAAACACATTTATACCGCATGGTTCAACCAATCAATGGAATTTACAGCCAGTGGTTTGGAATCTTGTGGTTTCTGACTAACTGGTCTGGTGACTGGCTGACATGCATCATACTACAGCTTGTTTACTTGATGATTCGCGTTTTGCATGTGACTGGGGATCAGGTTGCTTATGCGTGGGCAGTGAGTCTGGGAGGTGAAGCTGGAGCTTTGCTGTTGACCAGGTTTGGGCTCATGGAGCAGGCTGTGGACTATGCAATTGAGAGTGGAGCATTTAATCATGCCTTTGAGCTATGCCACATATCTCTCAAGCAGAAACTCCCTGAGGTGAGGTCGATTGCTCAACTGACCACGTCAGTCAAGTTCAATCTACAGCACTGAAAGGCTGTAGATTGAACCAATGACATGCAGACGGCACAAAAGCCATTTCCTGTTTCATAGTTGATTCAATCTCTGTCGCACACAAAAACGATCGTGCAATGTCCTCTAATTATTTTTAGACAAGAACTCCCTGTCCATCAGCGGAGAGCTCACACAACTCCAACGCTGGCAAGTTTGACCGACCACTCCATTGCACTTGCCTCAGGGCCTAGGCCAGTTTCTGTGGATTTGAAACAACAAAATTTGGTTTGCAAATTAACAATCCAATGGACCACCGGAAAAGTCAGAGGCCATGTCGTAACCATAGAAGTCACAAAAATGGGGTGGTAGCTCAAAATGAAACGGTTTCACCCAGTTGACCCGACATTGCAGACACAGAGATTCGACCCCTAGACCTGTGTCCTAACCCTGTACATTGAACCTGTGTGCTGAGTGAGATTCGATCCCTAGACCTGTGCCCAAACCCTGTACATTGACCCCGTGTGCTGAGTGAGATTCGATCCCTAGACGTACCCTGTACCCTGTACATAGGCCCAGCGATCTGTGTGAGACTCGATCCCTAGGTCTGTAGATTAGGAGTTAGGTCTGTTACTGTTAGGCTTAGGAAGGTCTGTTCTAGAAGTCTCTATTTGTTACATGCCCAGTTGGACGATGTACATATATAACCAAAGATCCGCAATGTGATGAAAAGGACTGAATGGACAATGCAGTGCAAGCAGTGTACATCCTGATACATACAAAAATGGTGCTTTACATCGCAGTGGAAGACTTAGATATAAGTCCTGACCTGACCGGGACTGACCTCACTCACAAAGTACAAGACAGCGTAGCAGAATGCTGGAATACCAATGACTAGCCCAATCAATGTCGCAATGCAGATCAAACATACATCATCCTTATCATAAGGTGTGAAGGGGCCTGACGCTACACACGGGAAGAAGGTGCCAGGTCCAGATCATGCACAGACGAAGAGAAGGGAAACAGACGAAGAAGATGGGGGGAAGATGGAAATGTCGTCAACACCAAGTCATCATTACAAGTCCCAAATAACCCCCCGTCAAATGTCTGAAGCCCAATGTCTAGTCTGGACCAAATGTCACCAATCCCGCTCTCTCTCGTAGTCTGCTGATGCAGTGAAGTCAGGTAGCGATAGGGTGAGAGGAAGATGGTGGACTGAGAAGAGGAAGAAGAAGAACTCTCTCTCTCTCTCTCTCTCTCTCTCTCTCTCTCTC